AAAAAAAAAAAAAAAAAAAAAAAAAAAAAAAAAAAAAAAAAAAAAAAAAAAAAAAAAAAAAAAAAAAAAAAAAAAAAAAAAAAAAAAAAAAAAAAAACACAAGTCTCTGTCAGAGGACATTTATCAAACACTTGACATGCATAACCTATCAAAAACAGCGCACAGATTCTAAAACTTGCCTTCAAATAAATTTCTTCCACATGAATCAAGTTTAAATTCAGTCACCCTTAGAAGCGTCGATGATCTAAAATGGTTTAGCCGAATCCCATGAACAAAAGACAGCAATAAAGATAGATTAAAATAGACACCAAATTTTGATACCATAAACAATCTTTTAACACTCAAAACCAAACAAGGATGAGCGGGAGGATGAATGAGGTTCTTAACTTTCTTGATACACTCACTGCAGGTGCAAATTGGCCACTAAAATTATGGTACCTTGCCTTTAGCTTCACTCCACCCATAACTTTATTTAGCAAAATTTCTTTATGGGATCATGACCTTTTTGTCACTTGTCGCCCGGATGAGCAACACGAAGCCATGGCCCTTCGCTGGGTTGCCCCCAATGAATTCCTAGTACAAAGAGTCAAATTGGGGCCGTACACCGCATAACTGACCGATTGGAGCATTTTCAAATCCTACTTCCCGGTAGCCCAATAACCCATGAGTGGATCAACTCTGCGCGGGTTGGAGGATTGTAGTTATCGAGTAACATCCTTTTGGATGACTCTCGTGAATAAGACGGAGAGAAATTTGTCTAAATAATATAAATTTTGGGAGAATAATATCGCAAGTTATTATCCGCAAGTTAAAATGAAGAATATAAACAGAGTATTAAATACAAACTTGTGGCCAAGTCAGAACAAAAATAATCCAAAAAAAAAAAAAAAAAAAAAGGAGGAGGAGGATATTATTCATATTAATATTAATATCAACGGGAATACATTATTCATTTTATCCCTTTTTTTTTTCTAAAATTAGAGCTCTTAATTTTCTGTACTTGATTCTGCAAAGAAGATTTCGATGTTTCGCATATCACGTGCTGATCTTCCTCTGCAAAACTGGATTTGGATTAATGGCGGCGTAACATTCGAATAACTATAAGCGATAAGCTTTAGTTATGCAAACGGCGTATTTTCTTCGCGGTTCTTTCTTAAACGAGTGTCGGTTGCCTATCAATCAGGCTTCCAACTATGGCGACTCTCTCCCTCTGTGATTAATGGGCTCTTCAGGTTCTTGATTACTCATCATCAATATTGTCGTTAGGTTCTTTCTTTGATTACTCATCATCAATACTGTTTCAACATTGATTACCTCGGTGGTTTATCATCTGGGTTTCGTGTAATAATTGTTTTTAAGTTAGAAACTGAAGATTAAATTGATTGATTGGTTGATTGGTTGAATGAGTTGATTCCGCTTGTTCTTGAGACGTCCTGAAAATTTGTGATCTGGGTTACTTGTGTGTGTAGTTTTCTCTTTAGTTTTAAGAGTTCTGGAGATTTATGATTGGAGATCATTGAGCTAAAACACTGGATGCACGATTTTATTGGGGAACTCTTACAGGTTCTTATATTTTGGCCAAAATTAGAGATTATTGATCTGGGTGATCGGAGAAATCACAATATTGGACGATGAACGCTGTAGGGATACTAGGTAGTTACATTTCAAAGGGTGTTTATACCGTTTCTGGGCCATTTCATCCGTTTGGTGGAGCTGTGGACATTGTTGTAGTCGAACAGCAGGACGGTAGTTTTAAATCATCGCCTTGGTATGTACGGTTTGGGAAATTTCAAGGAGTTTTGAAGACAAAGGAGAAGGTGATCAACATAGCTGTAAATGGGGTTGAAGCTAATTTCCAGATGTATATGGATCATAAAGGAGAAGCTTATTTTTTGATGGAAGTTGATGCTGAAGGAGAATCTGGATTGTATTCTTCATCTTCAGGCGATGAGGCCGAGGGGAAATTGCTGCAGGAACTCGATGGTAGGATCCTTGGTTCAAAAAGTTACAACTATGATGCTAGAAGTTCAATAGATAGGATTGAAAAGAGTAAAGATAAAGGGAAGATAGTGACAAAGACTACCTCCCAACGACGGACACTTGGATGGGGTCGTAATTCAATTAAAGAAGATCATCATGAGGATGCATCTCTTGCGAGAATAGACTCGCTGAAGCGTGCTGAGATTGTAGCTGATCTTTTAGAGGTTAGGTGGTCTACCAATCTTCGCACACAAAAGCTTGAGAAATCAGATTGTTCCAAGTTTTCTTCCATTAACACTTCAGATGACAAGGATGAGGAAAAGTTGAGGAGAGATGATGAGACAAGCCACGTGACATCAACTGATGAAGGTAACATGGGGAATAGTCTTGATAAAGATTGTGATAACTCCGGCAGCGAGCACATAACCAATGGCTCTCAATTGGAATCGGAAGACGTAGAGCTGTTGACTGAGGTAACTAGAGAATTGTCAAGTTTAAACACCGAGGATAGAGTGATTGAAATTTGCACTATAGAGGGAAAGGATTTTGACGGGACATATGAAATGAAATCTGCACCAAGGGATATCGAACAGACTGCCAAAGATACTGTGAATGTGACAGGAACCATCTCCGAAAATGCAGATTCCGAGTCCCAGCTTTTATTGTTGAAGAACAGTGATTCATATTATGGAGAGAACTTTATTGGACGCCACTTATCTGATGAAATAAATATCGTTTCTCAAGTATTCAACATTTCTGAAGACAAGAGTGAATCCGATGCAGTCCAATCCTTAATGTTTTATGAAACTTCCAAGAGCTCAAGGTTGACAATGGATGACTCAAGCGTACTGACTCCTAAAGCCTCCCACCCGGCCAATGGAGGATCTGGGATCATTGATGTGCATTCAAAGGGATTGCACCTGGCAACTGAAGTTCATCCTGAGGTAAGCTTTATTCTGACATGAACAAAATTCATTCACACATATGTGTCATTTAGCAATGTAGGATTGTTAAATTCAGAGCCTATTCTAGCATTTTTACTGATGTAGAGAGTAGATAAAAAGAAGTTTCCATGATTTCTTGAAGTCAGAAAGTTCGCTGAATTTATTTCCATTGACGCTGACTCTTTTATTAGCGCTGATATCTCAAAAATTTGAATTCAGTACACAGATTCTAGTGTCGTAGCTGGAGATTTTGAAATAGAGACTGAAAAATTTGAAGCCCTCGTGAACTATTCTCAACAAGTGGATCATTGTAATAGTTCTGTCTATGAAGGCAACACAATGGACCAAGAAAAGCTACCGACACTTGAAGCTTCATATACTCAAATAGTCTCCACAGAAGAAATGCATGGTTCAGTTAAAGAATTTAAGTCCGATAGCATAGGTTCAAGTTTCGGCTCGGATTTTCAAGATGACAAAAGTGTAGATGGAAGTGTCAAAAGCAAGTTCCAAATTTCTTCGAATTCTATCGGTAATAGAGTCGTACCAAAAGAAAGTAACATAATACCATCAACAAATTCAGACGATGAACAATTCCTTTTCAGTGATATTGATGTTTCAAAAGCTGAGCTAAATGGTAATATAGAGTTAGACAGCCAACGTTACAATGATAAGGAAGAATATCCATTAGCATATCCAAGTAGCATTGATGGAGAAGATAGATTTGTAAATAGGAGTTGTGTAACATCCAGTTCGCCAGATAGTCGTGAGTTCTTCAATCAGGGGATTGCAAGTTCCATCACAATTCCTTCAAGTCAACCAATCTCGAATAAAGAAGTTGACCGTATGGCAGCATCACTACCTAATATGCAGGATCGTATTGAAAATTTAATTGCTGGTGAGATCAGCCATCCTCTAAGCCATTCTGTGGACTCAAATTCCAGATCATTGAAGTGGATGGAATCCTGTAAAGATAATGCAAGCTCCAAATCTGGTAGAGATGAAGAAGATAAAGTGGCAGAGGAACGGTCAAGATCTGAAGAATCCTTGGTTTCAGAAGAACTCAAAAGTATTATTCCTAACTCTAGAGCGGGTAAGAGAATTTGGATACTTATTGTAAAAATTTACCTTTGAGTTCTTATTCTCAACAAATTTATTACTGAGTTTAGGCTCTAGATTGTATAAATGATCCTTTGTTTATCCAAATTCATGCAAAACTCAACGGCAAACTGTAAGGTGATAAGCTTAAAAGTTGGCAGTTATTCCTTATGGAGTGAGGTTCCTCTATTTAATTGAGGATCATATAGTTGAGAACAGAACGCATATTCGTTATGAAACACTTTATAACTCTTAACCCTATTGAGAAAACTCTTACAGGTAGTCCAGCAGAAGCAACTGTTGACCCAGTTGGAAATTGGAAACTTTGGCCTTTCTCTTTTAAAAGATCTAGTTCTAGGAAAGGAACTCAATCAGCTGTTGATGATTACGTAGATTTTGATATTAAGAAGACTTCAGATAGGAACAATGGAATGGATGGAGAAGCAAGAATCTTTAAGCACAAGGCAGAAAAAAAGATGGTTAAGTCCCTCTTGCCGACATCTGAGCAGCTGGCATCCTTAAATCTCAAGGAAGGGGGGAACACAATACTTTTCACATTCTACACTGCAGTGCTGGGGAAACAGCAGGTCAGAGTTCTTTTTCTCAGCCGTCCCTGTCTTCTTTCTTTCTCTGTTTCCCTTCATATTTGCATTTCGTGACTGATTATGTTTCTCAACAGGTTGATGCCAAGATTTATTTGTGGAAATGGAATACTCGCGTAGTGATATCAGATGTAGATGGGACAATAACAAAGTATGGTATTTCATTCTGATGATTTTGGATGTGATATTAACTCTTCTTTGGAATTGTTTACTCCTGTTGTTGGCTCCTTCCTAATCTTTTTTAAAAATTAAAATGTTGCCCTTGGACGAGTCATTAGTAACATCTTCTGCCATTAAATTAATATCCTCTTTGATATTGGAAGTTCTTGTTGACAATTTGCAAGAGTTGTTTTTTAACCATCATAGACGCCTTGAAATTCACATTAATTAGAAATCAGATAAATATTTGTCTTCTGTTGGCTGCTCAGAGAATACAATGGTGATTGGCTAGGCTTTTTAGCATAGAATTTTGATAATGAACTTTCTTCAATTTGTAAGAAACAGGGTTAGAAAGCAGTATGTAACCGAGAGATGAGGCCTGAATTTATTTTCTAGCATTCACTAAACACGATTTTTTCTAGCATTCACTAAACACGATTTTTTCTAGCATTCACTTTCTTTGGTTTTTCCTCTTGTGTTACTATCTTAGATCGGATGTTCTGGGTCAATTCATGCCCTTTGTTGGAAGGGATTGGTCACAAACAGGCGTCACAAATTTATTTTCTGCTATTAAGGTACGTTATCTCACCCTCATGCAGTTGGGTGATTGTCTGTGATGAAACTAGTATGCAATGAACTCTCCCAGTCTCTCTCTCTCTCTCTCAACATTTTTCTTTCTTCTTATATATATACTTTCAGGAAAATGGGTACCAATTGCTTTTTCTTAGTGCACGATCAATTTCTCAGGCCTATCAAACCCGCCAATTTCTTTTCAACCTTAAGCAGGTAATGTATTTACTTAAATTCAAGCTTGTTTGGAATAAATTTCTAAGTGCTTAAAAACACTCTTTTTGGCCTTAAAAACACTTTCTTAAGTACTTAGAAAGTCAACAGACCATTAGTATCTATGATTGATCTTTACTTGGTTTTCGTCCCTTCAGGGTGGGAAGGCTCTGCCGGAGGGACCTGTTGTTATCTCCCCAGATGGGCTTTTCCCTTCACTATATCGTGAAGGTTATTTCCTTTTATCCTTGATCTTTTCGTTAGAACTATGTTTTGAGAATTACCACCCAATTCTTCTTTCTTTAAGCTAGATTTTAGTGAATTGCTAGATGCTCTGGAGAAAGTTTTGGTTATTGAATGTGTTCTTCGATTTGGTGGTTATATTTAAACTAGAAATAGCTGTAGTTGGTACTTTTTGATTTTTTTATCAGAAAAAGCATTTGGTACTTTGGTAAACATGTTTTTTCCCTGGAAATGCATACTTTAGCAGTCATGTGAGCCCTTAAGCCTTTTAAGCATCCCCTGCATTTTGCATCCGCATTCTTGGGATTCTAAATGCCTGTTTATTAAAAGCATAGACTCTGTCATGGGCGGGTGGGGGTGAGCCATCTCCTAAAGCTAGCTTTGGGGTGGGTGAAACCTTCATATATATTTGTGGAGGATGGGTTGTAAACACGATGTAAAGAGCAAGGTTCTCATAATGCGACAATCGTATATATACATATCAGCATGCTTGGATTTGTCGATAACCCTTTTCATTTCTTCTTCTCAGTTATTCGGCGGGCTCCTCATGAGTTCAAGATTGAATGCTTGGAGGTTAGTTTTCCCACTTTCTTGATATTTAAACTGATACAAATTTTACATTCTTCATACTCATACTGTGATGAGCTGTGGTTTCGATGCACGACTGTTCAAAATATATTATTACTTAGATCAATCACTCAAATTAGAAATTTTGAATAACAATTGTTCACATGGGTTCTTAATAAGATGGCTCATAGTCTGCTTTTTGTAACTTTAGAGAATTCGAGAACTATTTCCTCCAGATTGCAATCCATTTTATGCTGGGTTTGGAAACAGGGACACGGATGAATTTAGCTACCTTAAAGTTGGAATTCCAATTGGAAAAATCTTCATTATTAATCCCAAGGTATGATTTGAGGGGGATTCATGAATATGACTTGAAAAACAGCATAATCTTATGCTATTTGGCAGCATCAAAACTCATAAAAATGTTCGTGCTTGTAGGGGGAGATTGTCGTAAACCGTCGCTTTGACACAAAATCGTATACGTCACTTCATACTCTTGTCAATGACATGTTTCCTCCCATTACCTCGTCTGAGCAGGTTGCTTAAGCTTTAAACTGAATTTGGATTAATTCTAGAATTACTTTTATCAAATCAATTCTTCGGTTGCTTACAGGAGGACTTCAATTCATGGAATTACTGGAAACTATCACCTCCCTTGGTAGATTCATAAAGCTTTTTTTGCCTGAAATATGAGATCCTTGAATCTGTGCATTACTGTGGTGGGTCAGTAGATTTTGATTTTCAAATTCTGAAGTCTTAGAACATCTCTGATATTCTCCAACATCTTGTTGATATAACATGTTCCAGGTGGGTTTCTTTGCTAAACTCATTGGTAGAGATTATTAAGCTTCTGGATCCATTGCTGATTGCGCCCACCTAATACATCTTCTGCAGAATCAGTTCATATTTCATCCTGATCTCTGCTGAGTTGAAACTTTTGTGTTGCATACTGGATATAGGATTATTATTGTACAGTGGTAAGCTCATTGTAAGTATGTAGTTTAAATTCATAGGTAAAATAATAAATCTCCATCAGTTTATGTGTTTATTTCCCTTTAGGAAGAAAGTGAGGAAAAGTAAATAGAATGGCTGTACATTTCCATGTACCTTTAGAATTGCAAAGGAATTTGCTTGCACCATGGTGGCAAAATTCATCATTAGTAGCATTTGTTATTATTTTATTCTAATAAAGAAACAAATATGTGAACGTGATTTTCTTTTGCCCATTCTTTTTATTATGATTGTGTTCCAAATTACAATGTCTAATGAGTCTTATATATTCCTTAAACTCCAATCTGATGAGAAAACTATCATTGTCGGTATCATGTTATATTCAAACTTTGAACTATTGAATTGAACCTCGAGTGTCTTAGAGAAAGGATTGCAGCTCTTGTTTGGTGAGAACTCCGAACGTTTTAAACTCAAATTTTATCAATTCAATTGCTTCATTCTCAGCCCAAGCTTGATGTTAAGAGATAGACATTGTTAAACTAAGGCTATATTTGTATGGATGGAATGTTTGTACATCTCGTATATCATAGCTCGTGTGGCCATCATATATGAGTTGGTACATTCCCTTCCGTTAGCCTAAAAATGGACTCTAACAACTAAGTTTTGAGAGGGATACATTCATTTAAGAAATAAGGAAATTCTTTACCTGCACCTACCAAAAGAGGAGAGATCCATAATTATTGGTATAAAAAGAAGTAAAGGCATTATTAGCATTTGCTAATGTCAACCCTTGTTTGGTAATTGCCTTTCCAAATCTCAAGCAGCACAAGATATTGTATGAAATTCAATGATTATATATATATATATATATATTTTTTTTTTGCTAAATTAAAAATTTTGATTACCTAGACTTTTAGAACATTCATGTTTATTTTGAGCTTGTAAACTTCAAAAATTTCTTTGCATTTTTTGTGCTTACATTTGCATGTTTAAATAATTCAAGTAATCTGTGTTGTTATTCAAATCATGAATTTAAAAATTAATTTGATCTTTTCTTTCTTTGGGGATTAGTTATTGTTATGGGATATTTAGATTATAAAAATAAAAATAAAAAATAAAAAAAATAAAAAACTTATTCTTTAATAAGTTCGTTAAACCAGAATTCTCACGCATGGGTGGGCCGTATTTAGGTAAGGAAGATCACGGACTCGCAAGCCAGCCCTTATTTTATTTTATTAAAGCTTGGATAGAGTACTGCAACAACATAGAAGGGTATTTTATTATCACACCCATTACATTCATCATCAGTACATCTTCACATTGCACTGCTCGGCGTAGTCAAGGAGCTTCTCAAACTCTTCCTCTGAAATTTCGCGATCGGCATAGTCATCAACATGACCCATACTCATCCCGTAGTGAGATTCACCATGGGAATGGGAATGGCCATGACCATGACCATGGCTGTGGCCATAGTGGCCGCTACCACTGCCATACTCACCAGAAGCCATACCAAAGCCAAAGTGGGAACGCATGTCGTCCTGGTCACGAGCAAAACCCACGCTGCCACAACTATTAAAGTTGTTGGCACCGCCATGCTTCTGAAAGAAGGGGGGGATGATGGGTGCGATGATGTCGAGGATGTCGATGATGTCCCTGATCTTAACACGGCCTCTTCTTGATCTGCGAGCACTGGCTCTGTATACGTTCATTAGGTCATCCCTGCATCGGAGGTTATCGACGGAACGGCAAGCCATTTTTGTTTGGAAAGGAGGTTCGTAGTTTGATTGGTGCGAAGGCGGTGTGTGATGAAAGGTGTTGAGGTTTCGGGTATTTATAGTATATTTTCGTAACCAGTTAGCCCTTATTACTTATGCCTTCCTACTTCATTTTCATGACAACATAGTGAAATTACTATTCCCTCCCATTCTATGTTGTCTTTGTCCGCGATGGACCCTGAAATTCCAAGGAAAAAGGAAAGATTCTATACATAATAATGTTTCATTAATAAAAATAAATAATTTATTTGAAAAAATGCATTATAATTGATAATTAATTTGTGTCATTATAATTTATTTGACCTATTTTATTATATCACAGATTTACCAATGGTTTATGCCAAAGCTGCTTATATCACAGTATAGCTCCCTTTTTCTTAAGTATAAAGGTTTTTTTTAGTTCAAATAAGATATTTTTTTGAAAAACTTTATGATGTTGAACAATTGATGTACATTTAGATTCACAAATAATAATAATAATAATACTAATAATTGTTCTAATAGTTTTGAAATCTAAAATTTGCATCTGTGAGAAAAAGACACCCACTTACAAGATTCAATTCTTTGAAATGACAATAGCATAAATTCACAACTCAAACAACAAACCAATCAATGAATTGATTATTAAAGATATTAGAATGGGAGCAGATAATAATTTTATAATTTATTTTCGGTAAATTACAGAATAAGTATTTAAAGTTTGTTGGGTCTAATTCTTCTATTAGATACCAAATTAGAAACTTAAAAATGTATTAATTACAAGACTAAAAGAATAAATATTTATTATATATAAAGAATTAAAGAGAGTTGGCTAAGGAGAAATCAAGAACCCTATTCTTGTTGTCTTCACTTTAAACTCGTACCTAATTATGTATTAAATCTCAACCCTTGGATTAGAATTAATAGAAAGTGGTAACTATTTTCAATTTTATTGAGTGAAAAATGATCTGTAATTTAAAAACTATAATATTGTATGAGTAATAAATTATTGGGGAGCTAAACTAAATGAGAATTATGGAGTCCCAAAGTTTGGTTCTTCAGTTGCTTTCGATAAGAACGGAAAAGAAACTTATTCCTACAAAGCTGATAATCCTTTTTTTTTCTTTTTTATATTTGGTTTTATCTTATATTTTTATTCCTTTTTTATGTGCTGTTTCATGCCGAAAAAGATATTTGATATCGCAACTCATGTATGAGTTATTAGTTAGATTATACATATGTTTCCTTCTCCTATTTTTTCACTTCTTCTCAGTTGACAAAAGATTAATCAGAGATTAAATACTTGTAAACCAAGTAAAGTTAATTGTGAGGAGTGTAGAAACTTCTCCCTAGTAAACCCGTTTTAAAAGTTAATTGTTATTTATGAGTTTGAAAATACTTATAATTTTTATTTGTGACTATTGTACTTAAAAAAAAAAAAAAAAAAAAACTCGAGAATCAATACTCTAAATAGATAAGATCCACTCATTATTGTCTTCATTATTGTCTTGCATATTGAATCCAATTCGTAAGGACCAAATCCAAGTAGGTTAAGATTTGTAGATATCTATCTTAGTTTCATATGTTTATTTTAAAAAAAAAAAAAAAAAAAAAAAAAAAAAAAAACACCTATATTCTGTTGTTGAATGCGTTAGTCACATTCGATGAAGGTAGATGCCCCATTGATACCAATTTTGACATCCATGAAAGAAGACAGCCATAACTTTTTATTTTCTTTCTTTCTTTTCAATAACAAGAAAAGATTGAAATTATATTGTTGGGCGATGAGCAAGGCTTGGAGAGAAGGAGAAGGTATTGTCATGAAGAGAAGATTTTATAGAAATTCAAAAATCTCTCATAATAATAATAATAATATAAACAAAATATATGTATGAGAGATTTTTGAATTTATATATATAATATATATATTATTATTAGAAAAATAAATATTGTTATATGATCCTATATATACAATAAAATATGGGCTTAAATAAATAAAAGCCTAACATGTTTTCAAAAACTACCCATCTCCTAAGAATATATATTATTATGGACCAAATAAAAAAAACCAATAATTATAATGATTGCATAAATGAATCAATTACATATCAATATCAATGGTACGAAAGTACAAAATTAAAATAATGCGCAAAATTCTTATGCTTAGCGTAAATAAAATTACTGTCCCCTCCCATTTCGATATTTTCAATAATCAATTTATTGATTTATTGATTTGTTGTTTTTGTTGTGAATTTATAGAATTGTCATTTCAAAGAATTGAAACTTCAAGTGGACTTTTTCCCTCCCATCCAAATACCAGATTCTTCAAACTGAAAACGACTCCAACAATTTTTTTTTTTTTAATCTAAACCTACATATATATATTTTATCAATGATAAAAAATAATTATCAATTATAATGCATTTTATCAAATAAATTATTTATTTTTGTTAATGGAGCATTATTAAGTACAGAATCTTCAAGGTCCATCGCTGACAAAGACAACATAGAATGGGAGGGAATATTAATTCACTATGTTTTCATGAAAACGAAGTAGGAAGGCATAAGTAATAAGGGGTAACTGGTTAAGAAAGTATGCTATAAATACCCAAAACCTCAACACCTTTCATCACACACCGCCTTCGCACCAATCAAACTACGAACCTCCTTTCCAAACAAAAATGGCTTGCCGTTCCGTCGATAACCTCCGATGCAGGGATGACCTGATGAACGTATACAGAGCCAGTGCTCGCAGATCAAGAAGAGGCCGTGTTAAGATCAGGGACATCATCGACATCCTCGACATCATCGCACCCATCATCCCCCCCTTCTTTCAGAAGCATGGCTGTGCCAACAACTTTAATAGTTGTGGCAGCGTGGGTTTTGCTCGTGACCAGGACGACATGCGTTCCCACTTTGGCTTTGGTATGGCTTCTGGTGAATATGGCAGTGGTAGCGGCCACTATGGCCACAGCCATGGTCATGGTCATGGCCATTCCCATTCCCATGGTGAATCTCACTACGGGATGAGTATGGGTCATGTTGATGACTATGCCGATCGCGAAATTTCAGAGGAAGAGTTTGAGAAGCTCCTTGACTACGCCGAGCAGTGCAATGTGAAGATGTACTGATGATGAATGTAATGGGTGTGATAATAACATACCCTTGTATTTTGTTGTAGTACTCTATCCAAGCTTTTAAATGTCTCCTAATAAAATAAAATAAGGGTTGGCTCGCTAGTCCTTTTATCTTCCTTACCTACAATGGCCCTCAATATTTATACCTAAAACATCAATTAAAATATTTCACCAAAGTAAAATATAAATAATCATTTTTAGAATTCTTTTCTCAAAATATCTAATTTCATCTTTTGAAGTTTCAGTCATTTGATCGCCTCGAAGAGAGATGACACCAACAAATTTTTGCTGATGAAAGAAGTGTTGAGAAGAAAGGTTGAGGCGTGGAAGGGCTCTTAAATGGAGATTGGTAGCATAGCTTTGTTCCACCTTGTTGGTGTATGCTTATCTTAAATGGAACGTTTTGAACCTTCCAACCTTTCTTACTTCGCCAGATTCGCCTCATCTCTACTACTAATTTCTGTCTAAGTGGAGTACGGCTTTTTAATGTTTGATTGTCCCACTACACAAGGGTTTTACTGGCGTATCTTTGACCAGTCTAGGTCTTTGGATCTTGACTTATTAAGTTAATTGAGAATAAAAGAATATGATTTTCCTCTAATATGTGGTCTAATTTTAATCAAACTTTCAATTTGAATGAATTTAATTCTTATTAACTTGGAAAGTAAGTCATGAATTAATTACTCTAAATTGAACCAGCAAGCCATTCTAAATTAAATCGTATACATGATTAAATTTTGAAGGCGTGAATAAAAGGAAAAATTAAAAGTAAATTTAGTGGGGGAGAGATAGCAATAAGTGTTGTTATTATAATTTGATTAGAAAAGGTTGAGGAGAGTATTGTTATTGAGAAGATCATTACATGATTTAACCCAGCAAAGGTGACAGTCAACACCTCTTAGAGTGAAATCTCATGGCGTAGTCGACGAGTTTATCGAGCTCGTCTTCGTTGATAACACCATCACCATCAGCATCGGCATAAGCCAGGCCATAGCGAGCTTTGTGGTGAGGAACAAGATTGCCTAAGAAGCTGAAGGCTTGGGTGATGTCACTGATGCTGAGGACGCCATCTCCGTCCATGTCGTGCTCTAGGAAGATCTCCTTTATCTCTTCCCTCGACAGATGCCACCGGTTTTTGAAGGGCGCCATTGGGATGATTTTGCAGCCTGGCTCTCGTGTTTTGTTCTTGTGATGGAGTGTTTATATAGACTTTATTGAAGCAGGCGAGTAAGAATTATTTGATTATTATTTGGAAGGAAGAAGTTTTTCATTCATACATAGCGGAATCGAACAGATGCTCTACCAATTAGTGCAACTTTATGCATTGTATGGGGTGGGCTAATAGAAAAATAACTAATAAAATTTCAAAATATTAAATATTAAATATTTACTTGTATTAGAATCTATATATTTTTCGATCAAATAAGACACTATCTATTTGATATTTTACTAATTATTCGATGTTTTTTTAAACACAAAACTCCAAATCCCTGCTCGAAGAAGGGAAAAACACATTTAACCAATTTTATTTTTCATTTAATAAGAAGGGTTAACCGATTCCCCTCTTTCAAATACACGTAAAGTCATAGACTAAAAATAAGTAGAATAGTTTACCGAGAAAAGACAACATATATGTACTTTTTAACAAAGAGTATATTTACGACTTTTGGCATACTGAATTAGCTTGTCCATCTCGGCCATGCTGATGAAACCATCACCGTCGATATCAGCGGCACGTAGGGCCTCTTCTACTCTAAATGAGCTGAAGCGTGAACCAAGATAGTCGAAGGCTTGCTTCAACTCCTCCTTTGTTAGCTTTCCATCACCATCTCCATCGTGGTTCTTGAAAACGCTAGCTAGTTGCTCCTCTGAGAATGGAACAAGAACTCGTTTGTAAGTTTTGCTTTTGGAATTCCCCATCAAAGAAAATAGAGACAAGAGAAAAGGAAGGAGATTTTTGCTTGAGTTAAAAAGTTTGGATCGATTGAGTTTTTAATATTAGAGGAAAGCATCTGGTATCTTTGAATTTTAAATTAAATAATAGAATTTTATGTTTATCCATTTCCTGTAAAACTTTTTTTTCAACATTTGCGGCCGCGAATCATTTGACTTTTGAAATGGTAATTAAAATCTTATTTATCAAGGTAAAGAAATTATAAATCTAATATATAAATAGGTTTTATTTGCATACCGTATACAGTAACATTAGTGGCCAATTAAATACCGAAAAAATACATGATGAGGAAGCAAAACTCGTGGCTTCCTTTTCGTTTCATGTGTCTTCTTTTTTAATAGATGAAAATAAAGTTGTGTTTTAGAACTATTTTGCATTTCTTTTTTATTTTTTAAAAATATATAAACATGTTTGACAATTATTTATTATTTATTATTCTTTAAGATTCGAAGAGGAGTAACTAAAAAGTTACTCGTTCCTTCTATCAAATATATTAAAAATGATTTTTTGTTAGTCTTCTTTTCTTTCTTTCATTTTATTTTTAAATTTTTGTTCGAATGATATTTCATTCTTATTTTTTAAAGATAAATCTCACGTCCTTATTATGTTGCCATTTTTAACCGGACTGGAATTTTAGAACAAAAAGAAACTGAAAATTAGAATGAAGCTTAGCTAAATATATTATTAATCAGCTAATCAACAATCAAATAAGAATCATTTTTTATTTTTTTTTTCTCTTTTTCTTTATACTTCCGTAGTTATTAAGTTAGGTTCATATTGACTTTTAAAAATTAGAAAAAAAATATCATGTTAATCTTATAAATTTTATTTTTTATAAATTTATTCTTAAAATACCAGTATGTATATTATTGTTGGACAATGATATTTTAACAAAGGTCAAATACTATATTATATCACTCATTAATTTCAAAGACCACTTTTCATCCTCAAAAATCGCTCACTAAATTATGTAAATACATTTTAAGTTATTAATTTTTTGTTTATAGGTGCTTATAAATAATCAATTTTATTTGAAAAGAAAACTTTTTTTTCTTCAAAATTATTCCAAAGAAATTAACGAAACCTTGAATTTATTTAAAAGTACATATATATGTTAATCGTGGTGTTTATACTTTTTCGATCTAGAGCTATAATGTAAAGGCTAATTTTTATTATATATTATTAATATTTAAAAAAAAACTAATTTTAAGCCAATAGTTGTGAAACGTGATGGTTCACCATAATTCAAACGCGATTGGAATTGGATCATATGAGCCGTGTTAAACACTGTGAAAGTTGGTGGTTACTTTACGGTGTCGTTTTTCATACTGCTATTCCAACCTAAAGCAGAAGCAAGCTTTGTTGTGACACTAAAACGACGACGAATCAGCGAAGTGGAAATTTTTAAACAAAAAAAAAAAAGGGGGAATTTGGAATTGGTGGAGACTTGCGATTTGCAAACGGATAAAAGCGACATTTCACTGCATGCACGAAGCCGACTATCCAACAAACTGTCACCATTTTTGGCCCGGCCGTCGAAGTTGAAGGCAACTTTACAATTCTACCCATGACTCGGTTTCTAAATCACAAATATATCATTTTTATATATTTAATTGGAATCTGTACCTTTTTTAATTTCATGTATAAAAACTATTGGTTTATAATTGATAATTGAATTATGTTTCTTTGTTTTGGTGATTGAAAAATCACATGGCTATTCAATTATACCATAACGTTTAACTACAAAAGGGGGAGGGTATATTGGGAAATTAAAAAGAAACTGAGTTCTATGAGTACCAATTTAGGGCAAAGCAAACCCTAAATTTCTCCTATCTTATTCCTTTTACTTAATGTTTATGTTTGTTCAAAAGAAAAGGAAATGTATGTCCAAAAGAGGGACACTTGGAGGCATCACAGTGCTCCAACTTTCTTTAATCTCTACTCTAATTTCGCTCTCTTAAATCCCAATTAATCTCTTCCTTTTTCTCTCATTCTCTAATTCTTTTTAACCATTTCCATATTACACGAACCCGGTTTCTTATATATAAAAAAAAACCACCTGGGTTTTCTTCACTAACTCTGAAATGGTTGAAGGATTTGGTGTTCAGAGAATGTTGAAGGCTAAAGCTTGGATCATCAGAATCAACCTTCTCTTCCTAGCCTTCTTCTTGCTCCTTTACGTCGCCCTCCTCCTCCGTCCTTCATCTTTCGCCCCGTATTCTCTCAATTCCGCGTCGTTCGTCTCGTGTTCGCTGCGTGAATGTCATCCCAAGGTTAGGTGAGCTAACTTAGTAGTTTTTGTGTTGTTATTTGATGAAATTAACAATGTATTGAAGGTTTGTTTTAATTGTGTAGATGAAGGTAGTTTTGGAGGAGACTGAGCCAAGTTTGCGGTTAAAGTCGAAGGGGAATAGGAATATGACCAAGTTGGAGATACCAATGAAGCTTTGGAAGGAAATGGGGAAATCAACCAAGATTGGGATGGTGAATTTTGATGAAGATGATATCAGTGAATGGGAGTCCAGTTTTGAAATCACGCCCATTGCTTTCCAAAAGGTGTTATTAAATAATCTCTTTAACAATCCATTTACAATTATTTTTTTTACTCACATTCTTGTAAATAGGTGTCCAAATATTTTGAGTGGAAGGATTTATTTCCGGAGTGGGTTGACGAAGAGGAAGATCTAGATGGTGCATCATGTCCAGAGATTCCGGTACCTGATTACCGGAGTTACCAAAAAGTGGACCTGGTAGTGGCGAAGCTGCCATGCCGGTACCCAGAGGAGGAGTGGGGGAGGGACGTATTCCGGTTGCAAGTACATCTGATAGCGGCGAACATGGCTGCGAAGAAAGGGAAGAGGGACTGGTTTTCCCGGTCGAAGGTGGCGTTTTTGAGCAAATGCCGACCAATGATGGAGGTTTTCCGGTGCAACGACATGATCGGCCGGGAAGGAGATTGGTGGTTTTATGAGCCGGAGATGAATAGATTGGAACAGAAGATTTCATTGCCGATTGGGTCCTGTCAATTGGCAATGCCCATTTGGGATCGAGGTATGAAGATGGTTGCTTCATTACTACGTTAAGAGTTAGTTGAGTTTTGGTTGAGAGTTTATATTTGCTTCTCTCCACAGGGTCCCCCAACCAAATCATTTGTTTTACTTCAAATTCAGAGTAATATCAACTACCTAGTTAGTTAGGAACACATTTTCTGATATTGAATTATAAATTATTGATTTTATCCCTAAATTAAATTATAACACTTTTTATTACTTTTTTTTTTTTTATTTCATGAGGAAATAGTCGTGTTTCTTTCTTATAAATCATTTATAATTTTTCTCTTAATTACTAAGTGGGATTAAAAATATGTTTAATATTTTATTAGAGATAAAATTCATTTTTTTTTATCTTTTGGCTTTTTTTTAAAAAAAAAAGTATATATATATATATATATATATATTTTTTTTTTAATATATTAAAAATTTGTAGAAATACCCTTAAATATTGGTAACAATTTAAAATGGATTTAAAAATTTAGAGTAATTTTAGTTTTGAGTGCTGACGTGAATATTATCTCCATTACAGGAGTGAACAAAGTGTACGATCTTTCGAAAATCCAAAGAGCAACAAAGACAGTGAAACGAGAAGCATACGCCACAGTAATCCATTCGTCCGAAGCCTACGTGTGCGGCGCCATAACGCTAGCTCAAAGCCTCCTCCAAACCGGAACCAAACGCGACCTGATCCTCCTAATGGACGACTCTATCTCCATGTCCAAACGCGCCGCCCTGGCCGCCGCCGGGTGGAGGATTCGGATGATAACCCGGATCCGAAACCCGCGGGCCGAGAAGGACTCTTACAACGAATACAACTACAGCAAGTTCCGGCTGTGGCAGATGACTGACTACGACAAGATCATCTTCATCGACTCCGACATCATCGTTCTTCGCAATCTCGACCTTCTCTTTCACTTTCCACAGATGTCCGCCGTCGGCAATGATAACTCCATCTTCAACTCGGGCATTATGGTTATCGAGCCCTCGAATTGTACGTTTCGGATCTTCATAGAGCGACGTGACGAGATCGTCTCATATAATGGCGGTGATCAAGGTTAGCTAACTCATTCCTCTAAAAGATATATATTAGTTTAGAAATGTGTCTAGTTTATTACTAACATTTGTGAGTTCTATCCTCATGTGAAATTAAAATGTATAATAATATATTTCTAAATCTTAAAATGTTTTTAATAAATTTTAAAATGGTTAATCTTGTTTCATATTTCTTAAATTTTTTTTTATTAGAATAGCAGTTCTTTCATCTATTTGATACTTTTTTTATTAAAAAAAATATATAAGCCGCACAAAATTAAAAATTAAAAATTATTAATAGTACCATATTAAATCATTGTTGAATCTAAAAGCTTATAAGTTAACTAGTTTGACCATACTTTTGTACAGGATTTTTGAACGAAGTGTTCGTGTGGTGGCATAGGCTACCACGACGAACAAACTTCTTAAAGAACTTTTGGTCAAACACGACACTAGAGAAGAGTGTGAAGAACGAGATGTTCGGGGCCAATCCACCAAAACTTTACGCCATCCATTACTTGGGGTTGAAGCCATGGCTGTGCTACAGGGATTACGACTGCAATTGGAACATAGATGACCAGCGAGTTTACGCTAGCGATGTGGCTCACAAAAGGTGGTGGAAGCTACACGATGCCATGGATGAGAACTTGCAGGCATTTTGTAAGCTTACAAAGAGGAGGAGGATCGAGTTGGATTGGGACAGGAAGATGGCTCAGAAGGCTGGCTACGAGGATCAGCATTGGAACATCAACATCACAGATCCTAGACGGATTCATTTGGTTTAAAGATCACTTATAATTTGTTGTATGTCTATTTTTCTTTTTTCTTCGCATTTTTCTATAATTTCGTGATGATTTTTTTATGCTTTCTTTTAGTATAATTTATGTGTGAATAGCTCTCAGTTAGTTCTCGAGAGCTGTGATTTTACACAAATATATGTGGTTTTAGATCTTGTATCACTTCTTAAATAATTTCAAAATAGTATAATATTTTTTCATGATACCGATTGAAACGATTATTCTAAATAAAAAAATATTTTCGTACATCTATTAGTGAAAAATGATTATCAGACGGTCGTAAGCGTTAGATTTCAAAAATATAATCAATCATATATGATATGAAATTATGTAAGAGGTTAAAATTATATCCGAATTTGTTATTAACAGAAGTAGGATAACCATGTATAAATGCCCAAATAGAAAGAACGGAAACCTCATGCCCACAACGTTTGGCTCCCTAAATTTGATGAGTAAGTTTGAGTTTGCAGACTCTAAACTCAGTTTTAATTATAAAAAATTAATTTAACATTTAATTTGGTCAATTTTTATACGATTTTGAATCATTAAAAGTTTGGTTTGGTTAATTAATTATATGAGTTTTAAGCTTATTGTAAAAGTAAAATAAATAATAAAGGAAATACAGAGAAGGGGTTGAGAGACTCTAATGGATGATGTCCACGAGAAGAGGAAGAGGTGGGAAACTCCACGCGCCCTCCGCCTCCCATTTTTGTTCTTTCTATTCTTAGCTTCGATTTTTCCACCTCATTTTCATTCTTTTTTTAAAAAAAATATCCTTAAATTTCCACTTCTCATTCATCCGGTTTCATTTTCAATTCCATTTTCCTCTCTGGTACGTTTCTCCCTAATTTACCTCTCTTGTTTCTTATTTGCTATTGCTGTAATCGCTTTCGATTCTTCTTGTTTTGAAATTACTATCTTTCGATTATCATTCACATTGTGAAACTATGAATTTTAGAGCTTTTGTTGGAGATGCATTATGTTCGTTGAAGAGTGGTATAAATGAATTATGTTTCTGAAGTTTTAACGTCTTTTTTTATATATATATATATATTTTTTTTTAATTTCGCCCGGTGTACTATAAATGAATGATTCTTCATTGTGATAAAAGCAGACTGGGAAGAACAATTAATTGAAGATTTTGGCGTTAGAGAAGTTAGAATCTCTATATAGAAACTAATTGCCAGTTGAGGCGATTATTTCGATTTTGAATCAGAAATTTTATCAACTGCCTTTTTTTACGTGGATTTTCAAGAGTTGGTTGATAATTCTTCTGATCTCGCTTATTTCTTGGTTTGCTTTTGAACTCGTGTTTGTGGGTTGCCTTTCCTACTTTCTTTGAATCGGGAGTGCAGCTGTTAAACGTTCAATAATGGCAATTCAACTCAACATGTAACTTCAACGGAGACATAGGATTTAAAAATGACAGGATCTGAAAGTGAAGCTCCCACTGTCATTGCTTCCAATACACAGATAGACTGTGAAGGTGGAGGTCCAACAGGTCCTGTTGCCAATGGAGTAATATATTCTGCTCCTGTCGCCAATGGAGTAATATATTCTGAAAGTCCTAAATTCTTTCCTACCAAAGATCCACCTTGTGTAATTTCTGAAGTTGTCCATGATCGCGACAAAATCAATGTACATTCTGTCTTCTCTTCTAACGTTTGATTTTCAGACCATGATGTTGAAAAGGTTCCTGTTGATGAGTCTGTTCTGCTGCAGGAAAAGAGTAATCACGATGCAATGGATGTTCATTCTCCCAATGATCTCAAGCAAGGTGGTTTAAATAGAGGTTTCATTGAAACCAAGGCACCTATTGAATCTGTAAAAGCAGCTGTCTCTAAATTTGGAGGGATTGTTGATTGGAAATCACGTCGAATCCATTCTATGGTGGAGGTATTTGTGTTTTTGGCTTTCTTGTCCTTTGTTTTCTTTTTGTGCATAGAGTGAGATTGGCACCATTATATGGACATTGTGGATCTGTATTTTTGTTGGGAGAGATGAAGAAACATGATTGAATATGTTCTTAAGTATCTCGTCACGTTTCACTGCTAAGTTGTCACAGAAATTCAGAGAATTGTTCAATGTGTATGAAGAAAGATGATTGAATTTGTTCTTATTGGTTGTGGACTGATTAGCACGTTGCATATAATTTAGGCTTGTTCCTTAACATTAGGATCTTTCAATATTTCTAAGGCGATTGAAATGTCTTCTGTTTCCTGCTTCTACAGAGAAGTAAGACAGCGGAGGAAAGGCTTGAGGACGTGCATGAGGAGCTTCGTAGGTGTACGAGAGCGTCAGAGGAAGCTGCCAAGGCAGAATTCCAAGTGTTGAAGGAGCTCGAAAGCACTAAACAACACATAGAAGAATTAAGGCTTGCACTGGAGATTGCTCAAACAGAAGAGCAACAGGCAAAACAAGATTTAGAATTCGCCAAGCTTAGATTGGAGGAGATGGAGAAGAGAATCACCGAGGAGATGGAGAAAAGAATCACCGAGGAGAATAATGATGCTCTGGCCAAGGCACAGCTTGAGATGGCCATGGCCGGACATGCTGCTACAGTTTCAGAACTGAAAGTCATTAGAGAAGAATTGGAAGTACTACGTAACGAATTTACTTCTGTAGTGACCGAGAGAGATTCCGCTGTGAAAAACGCTGATGTTGCTCTTGCTGAGTCTAAGGAAGGTGAGAAGGCACTAGGGGAGCTGACTATGGAACTGGTAGCTTTAAAGAAAGCGTTGGAGTCTGCACAAGCTGCCCATTTAGAAACAGAAGAACAAAGGATGGATGCAGCCTTGGTCAAAGAGCAAGATTCCTTCAAATGGAAGAAGGAGCTCGTTGACGCAGAGGAGGAGTTTTGTAGACTAAATATGCAAATTCTGTCAGTTGAAGATCTTAAATTTAAAGTCGATACTGCCTCAACTTTATTATCGGATATGAAAGCCGAAATGTTGGCCTATATGAACTCAGTATTAATGGAGGAGACAGGTGATGTACAGCACTTGAAAGGTGAAATTGCCGAAACTGAGAAGAAAATTAGTACTACACGATCAACGATTAATTCAACAAAGATGGAACTGGAAGAAGTAAAGCTCAACATAGAGAAAGCAATGGCTGAGGTAGAATGCTTGAAGATGGTTGCGGCTTCACTAAAATCAGAGCTAGAAGTGGAGGAATCTATTATGGCCACCACTAAGAAGCGAGAAGTCAGGCATTCTGAGGTAGCTGCATCATTTGAAGCTGAATTGGATAACATGCCCGAAATAGTTGTTGTTCAGGAAAACTTAAGAGAAGCTCAAGGAAGTAGTGGAAACCTGACCAATCAATTGAAGCAAGCAGCAGAGGAGGCTGATCAGGCCAAGTCACTTGCTCAGATGGCTCGTGAAGAGCTGCAAATGGCAAAGATAGAAGCAGAGCAAGCAAAGGCAGAATCAAGAGCAATGGAAAATAGATTACTTGCAGCTCAAAATGAGATCGAGGCTTCCAATGCTTCAAAAATGTTAGCATTATCAGCAATCAAAGCACTAAAAGAGAGTGAGGCCTCTGAAACTGCCAGAGAAGATTCGCCAACCATAGTAACTATTTCACAAGAGGAATACAATGAACTCAGCGAACGTGCCTGCGAGGCCGAGGAGCAAGCCAGAATCAAGGTGACAGAAGCAATTTCACAAATTGAGGTCGCTAAGGAATCCGAGGCAAAAAGTCAACAAATGCTGGAAGAAGTTACTCGCGAACTAGTTGCCAGACAGGAAGTGCTGAAAGCTGCAACGGAAAGGGAGACTGAGGCCGAGGAAGGAAAGTTAGCAGTAGAACAAGAGTTGAGAGTACGGAGGGCAGAACAAGAGCTGAGAATACGGAGGGCAGAACAAGAGCAACAAAGGGAGGACGATAAAACTGGCCATGAAGTAGCAGTCCCTACAACAAGCCCAAGAACAAGCATTGATGTAGAACAGTCAACAACCAGTGACCAAGCAGACGATTCTCCTTCTCCCCAAGAGGATCAACAACGAGTGACCAACCAAACAACTGGTGACCAAGCCATAGATCATTCTCCTGCTCCCCAACAACAACTGGTGACCAATCAAATAACTGGTAACCAAGCAGCAGACGATTCTCCTGCTCCTCGAGAAAACCAACATCTGATGGGTGACCAAGCAACAGATGATTCTCCTGCTCCCCAACAACAACGGGTGACCAATCAAACAACTGGTAACCAAGCAGCAGGCGATTCTCCTGCTCCTCGAGAAAACCAACATCTAATGGGTGACCAAGCTGCATACGATTCTCCTACTCCCCAAGAAAACCAACATCTGGTGGGTGACCAAGCTGCAGACGATTCTCCTGCTCTCCAAGAAAACCAACATCTGGTGGGTCACCAAGACGATCCTTCTACTCCCCAACAACAATTGGTGATCAACCAAACAACTGGTGACCAAGCAGCAGATGATTCTCCTGCTCCCCAAGAGAACCAACAACTGGTGACCAGCCAAGCAACTGGTAACCAAGCCACAGACGATTCTCTTACTCCCCAAGAGAACCAACAACTGGTGATCAGCCAAACGACTGGTAACCAAGCAGCAGACGATTCTCTTTCTACCCAAGAGAACCAACCAACTGGTAACCAAGCCGCAGACGATTATCCTACTCCCCAAGAGAACCAAACAACTGGTAACCAAGCTGCAGAAAATTCTCCTACTCCCCAAGAGAACCAACAACGGGTGACTAGCCAAACAACTGGAAACGAAGCTGCAGACGATTCTCCTGCTCCCAAAGAAAAACAAACAACTGTTAACCAAGCTGCAGACGATTTTCCTGCTCCCAATGAGAACCAAACAACTGGTAACCAAGCTGCAGACAATTCTCCTACTCCCCAAGAGAACCAACAACTGGTGACCAGCCAAACAACTGGAAACCAAGCTGCAGATGATTCTTCTGCTCCCAAAGAGAACCAAACAATTGGTAACCAAGCTGCAGACGATGCTCTTGCTCCCCAAGAGAATCAAACAACTGGTAACCAAGCCGCAGACGATTATCCTACTCTCCAAGAGAACCAAACAACTGGTAACCAAGCTGCAGACAATTCTCTTACTCCCCAAGAGAACCAACAATTAGTGACCAGCCAAACAACTGGAAACCAAGCTGCAGACGATTCTCCTGCTCCCAAAGAAAACCAAACAACTGGTAACCAAGCTACAGACGATTCTCCTGCTCTCCAAGAGGACCAACAACTGGTGACCAGCCAAACAACTGGAAACCAAGCTGCAGACGATTCTCCTGCTCTCCAAGAGAACCAAACAACTGGTAACCAAGTCGCAGACAATTATCTTACTCTCCAAGAGAACCAACAACTGGTGATCAGCCAAACAACTGGTAACCAGGCCGCAGATGATTCTCCTGCTCTCCAAGAGAACCAAACGATTGGTAACCAAGCCGCAAATAATACACCTGCTCCCCAAAAGAACCAAACGATTGGTAATCAAGCGGTAGACAATTTTCCTACTCCCCAAGAAAACCAACAATTGGTGACCAACCAAACAACTGGTAACCAGGCTGTAGATGATTTTCCTGCTCCCCAAGATAACCAACATCTGGTGGGTGACCAAGCTGCAGACGATTCTCCTGCTCCCCAAGAAAACCAAACGATTAGTAACCAAGCCGTCGACAATTCTCTTGCTCCCCAAGAGAACCAAACGATTAGTAATCAAGCTGCAGACAATTCTCCTACTCCCCAAGAGAAACAGCAATTGGTGATCAACCAAACGATTGGTAATCAAGTTGCAAACAATTCTCCTGCTCCCCAAGAGAACCAACAATTGGTGACCAACCAAACAACTGGTAACCAAGCCACATACGATTCTCCTGCTCCCCAAGAGAACCAACAACTGGTGACTAACCGAACAACTGGTAACCAAGCCTCAGACAATTCTCATCCTCCCCAAAAGCCAAGTGGAAAGGAAAAGCCAAGCGGAAAGGAAAAGACGCATAAAGGCTTGGGTAAAACTGAATCATTGTCAGAAACCAAGGATGGAAAGAAAAAGAAGAGGTCATTCTTCCCTAAAATGTTAACATTGTTAGGCAAACAAAAGTCAAGTCGTAATAAAACTACGTAACATGTTAGTCTCATGACAACACTCTCTCTTTTTAATACATAAATACCATTTAAATCATTTTATTGAACAAGCTTAGCTCCCTCTGTCTTGATAATGTCTTACCATCTCAACTCTTTCAACTATATTTGCACTGATCTTCTCTGGAAGGTGAATGCTTATTTTTGTTACGGAAGACTTTAGAATATAAATTCAAAATTTAGCTAGTACAACCAAATGTAAAAGTGCTTCACACGGTTTAAAACATATCTACTAGGGAGAGGTTATCACACCTTATGCTTCATTTCCCTCTTCAATCGATATAGAATCTCACAAAACGTATCCTATATCAATGCTTTTCATTCTAGATCACCACCACAAGTGTGTTTGTCCGATGAAGTTGAGACCTACCCTATTTTCATTCTAGATCACCACCACAATATTTTCAATATTTACACAAATGTTGTATTTGCTCATTATTTTTGTCATATTTATGATCTTTCATATCCGGATAATTATTTTTAATGAATTATCTTAGATTACATTTTATCTTTAATTTTGGTTTCCGCTTAATATTAATCGTTTATTTTTTGGATTTCTCTCACACTTATGTTTAGTGCTCATTGTTTTATCTCTATTGATGATCGTTTCTAAAGAAGAAGAAGAAGAAGAAAAAAAAAAAAAAAAAAAATCTTCTCTAGACTAACTAAAGGCCATCCCATTAACACTTGAAAAGCCAAAGCAAAATATTAGAGCGATAACACCGACAACAGAATTGATAAATTTATTATATGAACTAAAAATTCTCCTTTAGGAGAAACTATGCTCTCATAATACATTTGTCGAAGAGCTTTGTAGAAATTACATGGTATTGCAAACTAAGTGAAGGACTTTTCCTTTTTTTTTTTTTTTTTCATTAGTGATTTTATATATTTATATCACCAAAGCCACCATATTTAATTGGGGGTGGATGGATCTCTAGCTTGACACTCACCAAATAGGCCAACTCAAGGACAAAAGAGAGAAAAAGAAAAAAAAAAAAAAAAAAAAAAAACCCTTTTGAGCTTACTCAAATGCGGCCCATTTTCACTAAGAGGAGCCGCTTTGGGCTATAGTGAAATGAGGCCCAATTTCAGTTTGATAATCTCCAGAGTATGATAGGAAGCCCATCCCTAGGAACTGGAAATGGGCCATGCTCAATCCCATCTTTCTGTCCTGCCAATTCCCACCTGCAACCAAACATATTTTTCAATCAATTAAAATATTTATAATATATATTTTCATGATTTAGAAGGATGAAAAGGAGAGAAAAAATAAGGACCTGAATTTGGTGACTAAATGGTGGATCATGATCAAGATTTCAAGCTTGGCAAGGTCATTACCAGGGCAGGCATGGACCCCACTGCCAAATGGAATGAATGTATTGGGCCTTGGAGCAACCTGATGGAATCAGATCCCTCTTTTTAGTTACAAAATATTGAAAATTAAAAAATAAAAAGGAAATATTGGGGTAATTGAAATATACCTCAAATCTCGAGGGATCAAATTTGTGAGGGTGAAGAAAGTAGTCAGGATTGTGATGAATATTCCTGAACAAAGGCATTACTTTCCAACCCTTTGGAATTAAATATCCTGCCCAATAACCAAACAAAAATAATTGAGGAATCATTCAACCCATTTACACCTCACACCACTATCTACAATATTATCATATTGTTCACTCTGAATATGAGTTCTCACGAATTTACTTTTGATCTATTCAGAAAGTCTCGTAGCATTTTTTATTTATAAATACATGATCATTCCATTAACTAATCCTTGTAAGACTCTCTACCCAACCATTCTAAACATCTAATGCAATTGATTTAAGAGGGAGGACATGTTACCATTGTATTCAACGTCGGTCACCGCTTCTCTAAACGAGAAAGATATAACAGTCGCCATTCTCAAGCTCTCCAACACGACCTTGTTGGTAAATGGCATGTTTCGTGTGTCTGCCCAGCTCATTGCTCGGCTCCCCTCATTAATGGCTTCTTCAATTGCCCTTTGTTCCACCTACAACCACCTCAACATATTCATAAATACATATAAGTCCTACTATATTGGTATTAGAAGCTGTTGAGGACTAAAAATACACCACGCTTGAAAGTGTAGTGAGCAGTAATTAGGGTTACCTTGACTGCTTCTAGAATTTTGTCATTATCGTGGAGATATTTAACGACCCAAGTGAGAACACTGGCGGTGGTGTCCTGAGCCGCAAACAGGACTCCGATGATGTTGTCGGCGATCTGGTCGTCGCTTAAGCTTTCTCCTTTTGCATCTCTCCATTTTAGGAGACACGCCAACAGATTCTTCTCCTCTAATTCCTTTCTCTGCTCCCTTTTCTCTGAGATTATACAGTTTATGATCTCTCCCAGTCTGTTTCTTGCCTTTGAAAAAGAAGAACAGAGAGATAGAGATTCTTAGAAGACAAAAATGAGAATCTGAATATCTTTGTGCGTGTGCTTTTTATTGACTTACTTTAAGTGCTTTTTTGTAAATGCTTCCGGGAAAGTTGGTGGGGAAAGAATTGTAGCCTTTGTTCACTATGGAATAGTTCTTCAATAGTTCGTCTCTGTAATTGGCGTTCTCCAAATGCCCGAAAATTACCAGAATTCCGACTTCAAAAGAGAACTTTGGAGAGTGAACAAAAAAAAGAGACAACAACAAGAACAAAGGCTATGAAAGTCAGCGAGAGACAAAAAAAATAAAATAAAAACTAAAATTAAACAATTGATAAGGAATAATTGGTCCCCATTCGATTGAATTAAGAACACATAACTTTTAGAAAGCTCTGTTTTTGTCTGTGTATACAGAGCATCTCTACCCCAAGTGTAAATTAGATTTTTTTAATATTGTTAAAAGAAAAATAACACATATTGAAGAGATTCATTTACCTTCTTCATTTGATGGAGAGTATTGATGAGATGGCCATTGAGCCACGAGGGCAATGTAGAGATAGCGAGGGCGTGGATGTGAGGGACCAAGGTCCGAACAGGGTCCGGTGAGAGGGAGCTTTGGATTAGCTTACGAAGGCGCAAATGGGTTTCACTTTGGTGGAAAAACAAAGCCGATGGTCCGATGAGACGCTCTTTGCTTTGTGGGTATGTGGGTTTGAAGAGATGAGCCTGTGTGACGAGCACGAAGCGAGCTGCCTCAGGAGTGGTCAACATCACACAGGGACACCCATGAATGTGAGTCTTGAATATCTCCCCGTACCTGTATTAAATTTTGAATTAAAATTCAATAAAGAAGACCAACAAACTGAGTATTAGTAGTAGTAGTAGTAGTAGTAACCTTTTTTGTTTTCTAAAGAAAAAGGTTAGATCTTGGGAGTAGAAATGAAAGGTCTCGCCAATTAGAGGCCAGCCCATTGATCCAGGAGGGAGTTTGTTGTTTGGAATCCTGTTGTTCTTATGAATTTTCCAGAAAAAGAACAGAAGAAGAGGAAGAAAGATGGAAATGAGTACTAAAGTTGCAGCCATTTGAAGCAGTTTAAGAATATGAAGAAGAAGAAGAAGAAGAAGAAAGAGTATGGTAAGAGGGAGTGGGAGGAAGAAGGGGTTTATATAGGAGAGGAAACGAGAGAGGACAAGCAACAAATGTCGTCCAAAGATTTGGTGACAACTATGCATGCCTACGCACTATAGAGTCACCCAAGATTAATGCATATTTAATTTCTTTTTTCTTTTTTCCTAAATTTTAAATTCTTAAAAAATGTTCTATTTAACGAAATATATACATACATTAGGGGAATAACCTATAGTTTAAGACTTTATTTGGCTGGATTAATATAACTTAACTAATATGTCACAAATTTACACATGGGGTCCGTCAGATTATATCTCAAACATAAAGGAATCGAGTCAACTTTCTCCGCTGTGAATGTTGGGAGTCTGTGGCCAACTTGTCATGGCTTTGATTCAACCAATGCTTCTAAGCCACGTGTTCTTTGGATAACTAATTCCTTTTTGATAGGTTAAAGGAATATCCAATAGGCCATGTGTTCCTCTTTCTTTCTTTGTTTTTTTTTTTTCCTTCCATTTAAAAGCTTGAATTGATAAAATTATTTTTTTAATTATCGTTTCTTCAAATAATTCTTATTGACGTATTCAATTGTTCATGAATTCAAAATCTTAGAAGATGTATGGTTAAAATGTGATTATAAATTATGAAATACGGTATTAACCTTTCTTATTTAAAGATGAAAGCTTTCTTATAGTTCATATGAACGATAAACAATTTTTAGAGTAGTTATGATAGGTCATCAAAAGGCGGCACCGTCCTCTTTTATTGTAAATTTGTTTTAATGACTTTTAGCATGATCTTACGTTGATTTCTAATTTCATTTTATTTTATTTATAATGAATACGACCTCATTCTCTTTTTTTTTCTTTTAATTAAAACATCGTTATAGTTTATTAATATTTACTATATATTATGTATGCATATATGTATAAAACAATATAAATTTATTATTTTTTTTAATAAAAAAAAGTCGTATATTTAGTTTGAATGCGGTTGGAAAAAAGTATGAGGAAGAATTTGTTATAATTATCGTAGAAAAAAAAAAAAAAAAAAAAGGAAAAATGAGGGCAGTTTGGAGTTTGAGGCGTAGAGGAGACCTCGGGGTTGGTGGAAGTGGCATCCAGCTCACCAAAGTGGGGCCCATGATGTATCAAAATAGATCAATCCGCTGTAAGAAATTGATTCTCGTGGGGACCACTGGCCGGATTTTTAAGACACGTGGAACTCGTTGGAACCAGGAGATCACTGACCTCCCTCCACTGTATTATTAAATACACTGGATTCATTGAATAAATATCCTTTTAGTTTCTATGTGTACGTTTAATGAACTTTACAAAATAGTTTTAACGGTTAATTTATTGCATTTTGGAAATATTTTAGATTGCTCGAAAATTAAATATAATTTTGACAATAACGATAAAGAAAACATTACAAACCATGAATGTAATTAGCTAAATAACAACAAAGAAAACATATGATTATCAAGAAAATGGTGTGAATTTATAGTTTCGAAAAATTGAGGTTAAATAAGACCCAACTAATTTAACTATAAAATATAATAAATAAAAAATTCATTAATAGGATATTAGTTTATTTAGTTTTGAAGAGAGTGAGATTATTTATTTATTTAGAGAAAATATTGCGTAAAGAAATGATAATAATTTGCTTAAACTACCGTTTGAAAGGAAGAAGACGAAAATAAATACATACATTTGACTATTTGACAGTTCCTAGTGTGATATTTAGTAATGTCACATGTTTAGTGGTTCCTATTTATTTTAAGAATCTGACAATATATATATATATATATAATATCCAGGAGATGAGGTATATTATTTATGTATTAGTTTATTAATTTGAAATTTTATTTGATAAGTCCCATTTAAGGTTTGATTTTTTCCCTAATTCTTTTAAGATTATATGGTCATTTATGTTTTGATAGTCAAGACATATACGAAGGGAAGGACAAAAAGGACATGGGAAATAGGAATTTGAAGTAGAGGACACCTTTAAAAAAAAATGCATTACCATTTTTGTCTAAATTCATGTTGGCACAAATTTCAAGGACTAAAAGTATTATCAATTATTAGTCATAAAATTGGGGTTTTTTTTTAACCATAATTTTATATATTCAGAGACTTTTTATTTATTTGAATTTAAAAAAAAAATAATAATAATAAAAAATCCATTATTGATTTGGAATGTTGAAGCAAAGATACCATTTTTGGAATTTAATGTTGAAGAGGAGAAAAGAGAGAGAATTTAGTTTTCATAATTTTTAGAAATGAATAAAAAGGAAAAAGGGAAAAGGGTAAGTGATGGACGGGATGGGCCGCCGAAGGGATAACAATGGATGGATCAATGGCCCAAAACAATTTTTTTTTTTCTTTTTAATTTATTAATTTTTGAGTTTGGAAGAAAGGACAAAGGATATTGTAAAGTGGGAGTAAAGCATAAAGGCAAATCCTCTTCGGTTTTCATATTGCGTTGCGTCAAACTTACAACTACGGGATCTTCCCAACTGCATTTTTTTTTTAATTTATAAAATTTGAGAATTTAGACGTTATTTCAAAGAAATTAGATGTGTAATACTATGGATATCGATATTCTCTAGGACTCTGAATTTCTAAAGTAAATTCGATATTCACCTCTCTTCTTCTTTTTCTTTTTCTTTTTCTTTTTTCTTTTTTTGTGAAAAGAACCTATTCTTTTCTTTTCTTTTTTGTCAAAAAAAAAAACTAAATTTCTTTGTTCTTTTGAGTCAAAAGAACTCAACCCCTCTCCTTAAAAGAGCACAAGAATCTCCTTTATTCCTCATGGCCACCCATTGACCAATTATTCAATTTTTGTAATCACACAAAATGGTCTTCATTAATGAGCCCTAGGAGGATGCTTTTTCACCCATTCCCAAGAGGAATAAATTAGAAAAATAACCTATCCTTAGTGTTTAAATGGTTAGAAAATAACATTTATTTTCATTACTTTATTAAAATGGGATAAAAAAGGGGTTTTTTTTCATTACATATAGAAATACTTATATAATCAATAAAATACAATAAATTATATCCATGAATAAATATATGAAGGGATCATTTTCACTAAATCTTGGAAGTTTTTTGTATTTTTGTTGAAGCTTGCTTTTAGATATTTACTTGGAAATCAAGGTCTACAAATTGTCCTGGTTGTACTTTATTTCAAAACGATATATCTGCATAATAAAATAAATAAATAAAGAGCAAAAGGCAAGCTGGAAGAAAATGGATGACAAAGGGGAGGACATGAAAATGACAGAAATTATAGGGAAAAGGATGACCAATTCAGTTTTCATCACACAAAACTTAAATCATTTTATTTGGTGTACAAAAAATGTAATAACATTTTTGACTTAGATTACTAAATTATGATTGCTTTATTGCTTTCTTATCTTTTTAAACTTTTTATATTATCCACACTAACTATAGTAAAATCATGTGATAATATTTTTTTTTTTTTTATGATATTTCAATTTCAAATAGATTTTTACATATACTTTGGTTCCTTCACAAAAAATGTTTTATGTATCCTATATGCAATTTTTAATCGATCATGCAATCGTGGGATTCAAAAGGATTAATGATCGTCAAAACTTGTAAGAATTTCATAAGGTTTTGACAAATTCAAACGCAAATCCAGTGCTACTCCCAGTCCTAAGTTCAAGAAATCTCAAAACAGAAATTCGAAATGGTATTAACTTGAACAGACATTAGATCAACTTTAACTGACAAAATTGCATCAATCCACAAAGTGTTTACAATGTTAAAAGAAAATAATCGGAATCATGATGATGTCAAGAAGAAAATAAAAAATTTGATCCTATTGAACTCAATGCTTATTTTGCTTTACAGTTGTAATGAAATATAACAAAATCCAAAATGGAAGGAAACTAATTTTCTAAACTTCAATCCTTATCATCTTCATGTACCAAACTGCGGGCAAAACTCATCTTGTGTAATTTATATTCAGCAGAAATCACTCGCATAGAATGGGAAGTGATCAGAAGAAGAAGAAGCAAGACTCGTCACTTATTCGACCTGCTTTTGTTCAATTTCTGGTATCACTGTTTCTTGCAAGTCTATTCGACCTGTCCCACATGGAAAGTTGTTATTAAATAACTACATGCAATGGTAGAAATTAGAATACATCTCAAAGCTCACTCAGTTTGCAGTTTTTTTCATAAGGGAAAGGGGAGGAGAAGAAAGCCATACCCAACAAGGAAACTAGAGATGGGGTTTTTGATGATGTGTTTGAATGCGTATCTGGACCTGCAAATTAGAGTTTATGTTAACATGCTGTTGTTTATTATCGTAAAAAACCATTGGCTAACTTCCAAGACACTCGAGGAGTGCTTGAGCATAGCTCAACTAGCTAAAAATTTGTTTTACAACTATACTAAAAATATTCTCCCTTTAAAAAAAGAAAAAGAAAAAAGCACTTGAGTTCAGATTTAGAGTGCAATATTTATATGGATAGATCCTCCAAATGAGCATCATAAATTGTTCAACTAACATGCAAATGAATATGAGAAGAGGAAGTGACATTATATTGTTCATTTGTACCTGTACCCTCAAGTGATTTGACGTTTGACTTCTTGAAAGTAAATCCAATGAAATTCGTATCTTTTGAAGTTAGCATCTGATACAAAAAAGGAAAGAGGTTGAAGGAAAGAGCACATAGCATAAAATGAGCAATCAAGCAAAAGTAAGCAGCTTAAGGAATAATAGAGTATGAACAGGAGGTGTGCAACTTTCAAAGAAGTCGCTGAAACAGAATGTGAAATAACAGACGGCAAATCAATAGGCCCAACACATCATCATCAATAAGTTCACACAGAAGGTTAAAATTCATGTGTGAAACAGACACAACAGCTTTGCAAGAAAGCATTCTAAACTATCATTCTTGCTGGAAGAATATGTTATTACCTTTCTCCAAGGTCCAACAGTTGGCATTTCTGAGGGAGGGTCTTGAACCTACATTTTGGGGGAGGGGAAGGAGCAGAATTTTAGTACAATGAACTCAGAGCAACAGATTAGAAAGCCTAAAGGTGGCAAGGGGAAGAACTTTAAAGTCCACCTCTACACCTCAATGGAGGTTGAAAAAAAATTATGTAAAGAGGAACACATTCCACAGCATCTGCAAATTATGATAGATGATGACAAATAATCCCATTACAGACTCACACTGAGTACTTGTAAATACAAGTACTATGACAAGCTAGATATGTTATGCCTGAGTAATAATTCTTCAACCATTGGTATGGAGTTACAAGAGAAATTAACAAAACATGAAGTTAGAAGCTCAATAGAAAGTGGAGGGGCCGGATTTAAGTAAACTATTGCAGGAAATGTAGCCTTCAATGGAGTAAATTTAGACGTGGTCGAAGGAAAGAAATAACGATATAAATGAATAGAAGCATTAAAGGGTTCTAAAGATATCAGAACTATCAATTGGGTGCGAGGTTTATTGTCATGCTCACCTCAGGAAACTTCTCGAAGTTCTGAGTGTCTAGTTCTCCAGTGACAGTTGGTTTATATGCAGGTTCCATTTCATACAGCTTATCCCACTGAATCCCTTTGAACCATGGATGTGCCTGTCAGAACAATTAATTAGATGAAATGACCTGCTAAAAATGAAAGATGTGAGTACAGAATAAGAGTCTTCACTGTATTTTATTTATTTTTTTCCAATTTGGAAAAACTCAATGGACTGTTTCGTTTGTCCTTTGTAATAGAATAAATAAAAGCTATTATTCTCCATACTTGACATAAGTTAAAAGGAAATGTTTTCTTTGAAGAGGCTTACCTTTATTTCTTCTACTCCTCGTGTTCCCAACCTTGTTTCAACATCACAAAGCAAGTGGCTGATCAGGTCCTTGGCTTGCTCAGAGATTTTTGGTTCCTCGGGAAATTTCAGGCAAGTTCGCCAATTTATTATCTGAAAGAAATCCATATGAACGACATTGTACTTCATAAACCAGAAATAAAATAGCCAACAATACCGAACAGATTTTACCTTGCGGAAGGTCATCCTTGGATCATCAGAACAAAAAGGAGGATAACCAGCCAGCATCTCATACATAATGGCCCCTAATGACCACCAATCACACTCCATTCCATACCCTTTCTTAAGCAATACTTCAGGTGCCATATAATCCAGGGTCCCAACAGTTGAAAAAGCCTGCAGATATAAATGACGTGATTACAAATTTAGTAGTCATGTTTGAAAAGAGAAGGAAATGTTTAGAGCAGAAGATAAATCCAATACCAACGCACGACGATTACGCTTCCACTGTTGAATTTGTTCTTTCGGCATCATCCATTGGGATCCATTAGAGTCAGTATGATCTTGACCTTCACTTTTGGTCTGCTGGGCAGTCAAGTCTTCGTCATTCAAAAGTATACTTGAATACTTATCATCCAGAGGCTTGCACAAGCCAAAATCTGAAAGCTTCAGATGACCATTTTTATCTAGGATCAAGTTATCTGGTTTTATATCCCTGTAAGTGAAGTACTGTTCAAGTAAGAGTAAGCTCCAAGATTTACTTGAATATAGCATGTAAAGTCCGAATTCAAGCTAAGAAATCTGACTCTAGGAGAAAACTCCCATGTCAGTGTGAAAAGGATGGCTACAACTTCCATTATGATCAGAACTACAGAACTACAGACACAGAAGCAAGGTATAAGGGATATACCTATGTATATAATTGTGCTGATGAATCGAATGAATAGCTAAAATGCTCTCTGCTATGTAAAAGCGAGCAACATCCTCGGACAGAATGTCTTCTCTCATTAGCAACGTCATAATGTCACCACCAGGTAAATACTCCATAATAAGGTATAAGAACTCAGAATCTTGAAAAGAATAAAAGAGTTTCACAATGCACCTACTATCAACCTCTGCAAGTAAATTCCTCTCAGATCGAACATGCTCAACCTGGAACATGCAAAAAGAAAATTACTGCGTTCACTTATGTAATTCTTCTTGTGGACACGCTGATAATATCATTATTGCACTATTAGTAAGTCAACGCAAAGAAATTTTTTGAGCAGAGGTGTATCTTTGACAGAGTACAGTTATAACAAGTACATAACATTCCCAATTCACCTGCCCACGGCTAAGCATCTCTGATTTCTTCAGCTTTTTCATGGCAAAAATTTCCCCAGTGCCTTTTGCACGACATAATCTAACCTGCATATACATCGTAAATAAGATTAGATACCACAGAAATCTTAGGACAGTCTTGTACCAGTTTTAGTAGAACTGAATCTTTAAGTTTAATGAACAACAACTAAGCAATTGTCACATGTGAAGTTCAAGCACAACGAAAAGAGTTCAAGTTGCTGCAAATAGCGTTGTCAAATACCTCGCCGAATGCACCTTTACCGATGACTGTTAATTGCTCAAAGTCATCGATTCCAACTTTACGTCTTTGCAGTCTCATAAATTCTGTTTCTCTGCGTTCCAAGTTCCTCAGCATCTCTTCTTGTTCTTCTGCCGACATCTGAGCTTCTTGCACTCTTCGTTGAAGCGTTGTCCGTCTGCAAACACAAAAAGATAAATTAAAGATCGTCATACGTAGATTTTAGGCAATAATGTCGGAGTTCCAATACGAATTCGACGACGTTTTTCATAATTTCTTCTCAGAGTCAACACAAGTTCATAAAAGTCACCGCAGACCATAAAACTAAACATGGAATTAAAATTAATAAAACGATCACTAAAAGAAATATCCACAGAAATATCATACCTGTCCTTGCGATCCTGAAGACCTTGGAGATAGTTCTTGTAATGATTCTCAATGAACTGCTTAGCAGCGGCGGCTTTCTGCCTGGTCACCGGAGACGAAACAGACACATCGGGGCCTAAATCAAATCCGCTTCGATCCGACTTCATGTTCAGAGCCCCAAGCCTCACAGTCCCATCACCACCGTCCATATTTTTCCGCTCTAAACCAAATCAACTTCAATTCAATCGGCAAGCTCCCATTCACCCAAATTCCACGAATCTATACAAGTAGAAGAATCTTCTTTCTTGCGCACTTCAAGAAGAGAGAGAGAGAGAGAGAGAGAGATCTGGGGGAAGAAGCAAGCCAGAGCGAAGACAGAGAGTAAACGGAAAATGATCTATGAACTGGCACACACATTATATATACACATATATATGGATTGCAAGGCTGTCTTATATATTTATACGATTTGGCTGTGGGGCTCCGAAATGATAATTAAGAATTTTCCTTTTTTCTTAGGGTTTTTTTTTTTTTTTTTTTGCTTCTGGGGAATTGAGTGGGATCTACGCCATCGTTTTCCTCGCAATTTACTGGAATCTTTCCACCATTTTAATCATTCCCAGCTTTTACACAGCAAATTGAAGGCTTCGAAGGAGAGAGGAAGAATTGGGAA